TCGTGTGTGGCGAGACCCCTCACTCTTTAACGGCGTCGGCGGGTTGGCGCAGTTAATGTCGTCTGCTTTACGTCTGCTAGTCAAAGTGATGGCTGCTTTAACTTTCCTGCGTCTGTCGGAGATTCACCGCTTTTTCAACGGCGAGCATCACCGTTGCCTCGGGAAACAAGGAGATAACAAGAGGAAGAAATTGACCTCTTAATCTAAAATTGAGGTCAGCGATCAAAGTATAATACGGGAAGGATTCACGAGGGTCGTGCGGGCATATTCCCTTCAGCACGCCAGCCGGTCGTGGGCAGACGGTCGCCGAATCGCGGAGTGCCTGCTAGGGCTAACTGCCGAGCTCGCTTGGTCGCGTTTGGTGGAACCCTGGCCGTTGGAGCTTTTCCCGGGTGTTTGTGGATTCAGCGTTCTTGTTCGTCGTGTTCTGTTTCAAGTACTTTTTACTTTTTTTCTTGCTGCTTGAAGTCGCGAAGCGTGAGAAGCGCACGTAGAGAAATAAACGTCCGTGGGTCGTCGCGACTGCGATGCTGTCGGCCATGCTGATTTGATCGTAAGAAGTGCGTAAGACAGCTTCAGAGCTGTCGTAGGATTTCGTCGTAACCTGCGCAAAACTTAAGAAATTTTTGTTTCGTGAATACGAATTTGTTCTTAAGTTTTGTCTTACACACATTTTTGCCGTAAGATTGTTTCGTGAATCTGGCCTCTACACTTCCGAAAGTCGCAGGCAAGGTAAGACAGACGCAGACGACGTTGCGAGCAGACGACGTTGCAAAGAAGCAGACGACGCTCAAATAGGGGGTCGCGATCAGCCAATCAGGGCTCGGCGTTCTGACGTCACCGCTATCCCCTGCGCAAGAAGCAGACAAACTTGCCCTCCGCATTGAGGAAGTGTTAACATCCTAACAATATATTGTACGTACCACACGATCCAGCGTTATCCGAAAAGAATTTATTTGAGAAAGATCTCAAATAACACAGTCACAGTCGACGACAGTCACATCTTGACGATCGGGGCGGAATCCGAGATGACTTCGTTTTGGACACGTTTTGGGGAGAGCTTCCTTTTTTCACAACCGCACCAAGGCAAAGAAACAAACGCGACTGACCCGTTTCTCACCCCAACCCGGACAACTATTTTTGGAGATGACTGAGGATTCTACGCGGATTATCTCGGGGAGGGGGGAGAACAATGTTCGCAAAATCGCGTCGAGGGTCGTTCGACGTCCTTCACCTCCTTCGTTTCCCGTGGATGTCGAGCAGAAAAGCTTGAATGGCAGGCACTTACCAGCCTTATTTTTCACAATAGAAGATAACACAAAAAGGGTACGCAGCATGCATAAAAAAAATTAAGTGGAAACTTTCAAGAGGGGCGACAAAACGTTGAATGCAAAACCGCAAAAAACATAGGTAGAGAACCGCCCTGAGCGGGTCTTCACAGTCCCAGAGAGTGGCAGAAAATTTCTAGCTGATATAGGGCGCGAGAGTCGCACCAGCCACATCAGCATCAGCAACATGGCGGGGGCCTAGGAGCGTTTTTTGGAAAGGTGTATAGGCTGTCAAGTGTTTCAGGTGTTGAAATTAGCTGTAACTTGTATTTTGGTACATTTTATTTTGTCGTTGTCCAGACTCCCGGTCCGAGCTGAAAGAGCTGCTGGACAAATACGTAAATCAGCAGAACTCTTCAACGAAGGACAGTGAGGTAAGCAATTTTTGGGGAACGGTATCTGTAGGCTTTACAATGTCCCTTTGGCTGTGCACCACTGGCTTCGAGCACAACTGATGGGAGTGCTGATCGGTCGATTCTGACATGGGGTTCAGGATTAAGTGACGAGGCCGGATATTCCGTCTTGCTTTGCTCTCTGCAGAAAACATTACTTTTTCACTATTTTTTGTGCTTCCTCATCTGCTTAAGCAGCTTCTGTGCTTTAGGAGCGATGGTATCGTACTGCTTGGTGCCGCAATGCCAGAGTAACATGATCAGTCCAAAGTCCAGCTCTAAGGAGGAACCGCTGCATAAAGATACATAGTATACTGAGAAGCTGTTTTAGCATCCAAACCTCATGGAACAGTTCTGGTTGCTCTTGGAAATGGCTTATAACAAAGTCCACCGGACTACATCTGCATAGCAGGGCTTTATAATATTTTGTTTTAAAACTGCTGAACGATGTCTTATCTATAAATATATTTTGTGCACATGCGATGCATGATCCATGAGCCTTAACTGAGATAAGAAAATTTAACATTAATTTTTATTTACTTTGCTTTCTTTGAGGTCAGTGGGACGGTGTAAAAAAGTAAGTGCAGAAAATGTTAGTTGAAAATGAAAACAATGAGAAATTCAAGAAGTTCTGAACTTTCCATTTATGTTTCGAATTTTGCTAAAGCTTACCGATTTTCTTGAAATCGCTCGTTGCAGAAGAAGCAGTCCTCTAAGAGGAAAAACTGTGTGGAAGTTAAGCTTCTGAAAAGGCTGCGCCAAGATATTAAAGGTCGGGGGGTATGTATAGAAACCTTTTTGTTATAAAAGTGTTAGTTTTATTCACAACATATCAGTATTCATACGATGTTGCCGTTTTGGTGTTTGGTTAGACTTATTTTTCTCAATGTCATTAACTTTTTTTTTTTCAAGTGTATTAGTCATTTATTCATTCAGGCCCACTGCAAGCTGTTCAGACCACTGAGGTAACTGGAGATTATAAATTTACTGGTTCAGTAACCTCTGCACTGTGAGGGCAGATGACATAGTTGCCGTTTTCCTAAGCATTAGAAAAAGTCAGTGGGCAGCAGGAATGCAACTTTGAGAGTTTGTCAAAGGTCGCTTCTGGGGAGCAGTTGCTTAGGACTTCCAATGTTATACTTTGTTGTACAACTCTGATAATCTATCATTACTGCATATATTTGCTGTTTATAGCTTGGTGAATCTTCTGGGCGCACGCCACAAGCTCATCTCATGGTACCTGACCTGGCCTGCCCTGCTGAAGAGGCCAAGCGTGGAGCCGAGGCCAAGACCAGGGCCAGCGAGGCTACAGAGACCAGGGCCAGCGATCCTACAGAGACCAGGGCCAGCGAGGCCGAGACCAGGGCCAGCAAGGCCCAGACCATGGCCAGCGAGGCCGAAGCAAGTGCCTCTGAGGCCGAAGCCAGGGCCTCTGAGGCCGAAGCCAGGGCCTCTATTCGCGACTCCAGCGACCTATAGGGGGCGCCACCACCAAACAAACATGGCGGCTGAGTCCAGGTCGCGTCGGCTCGGCCGGGCCGCCTGAACAGGTGGCGCGTTCAATTTAACAAATTTTCTTTTGTTTAATGCCCAATTTTATAGGTATTTGAACTGAGACGGTTAAGTGTAGCCGGTGCACATAAACGTGCAGAGCATAGCTTTGTTTTCCAACTGTGCTTTTTGTTCTTTTCATGTCAAACTTTTGTTTCGGAGATTTCGTTCGAAAGCGAAACTATGGGCTCTGGAGAGGCGGTAATATACTAATCAGTTTTAATCATCTAAAAAAAGCGGCAATGACTGCAGAATTCTCCAACCAACAGTAATTTTCAGCCAATTCGCATGCCTCGACCATGCGACTTATCTGTCTGCGAAATCGGGCTTTTGTGCGTATCCGCGTTTAAGAAACAGCTTCAGTCATGTGCTCGGTCAACACAGGCTGCAGGAAAATTACGAAAATTAAGCGAGCGCTTCTTAAAAAAGTTCGATTTGGGGGTTTTACGTGCCAAACCAACGACGGGCATCTGGCACGCCCCAGCGGAGGACTGAGGATTAATTTGGACCACCTGGGGATCTTCTGACGTGCGACCGAAAGCTCGACAAGCGCTTCTTGAGCCAAGGAGCATGTTAACCCGCCGGCGCCCCACTAAGCAGCTGATACTCGTATTTCAATTCAGGTTTTAGTAGCAATCGAGAAGTCATTTTGACGAGCGGGTTATGTATTATATTACGTAGTATGTCCCACTAAAGCGATATTAGTATATTCTTCGGTTTGAAATATGAGCTTAGTTAATTAGCTATTAGGTGAACTGCTGAATAAAAGTATATTTGACAGACAGAGAGATACTAAATTAAACTTAGCGAAATGGTTCTGGCCGGTAGCACGGAGACGAATGCGGACAAACTTCTTCATTGGAGATTCACGCAGAATCTCTCAGGCATTGAACTTGACTTCGAATCCTGAACGGAAAAAATGAGTATTTTTGTGGCCGGTCAACCTGAGCAATGTAGACGTATATTGCTGCTGGCTTAATTCGACGGGGGTATAATATAAATACTGGAGGCGCGATAGATCATAATGCCGTGACAACGTTGCGAGACGCGTCCCCCACCTTTTGAAAAACAGATAATTTCCCTCATTCATCATTTGCAGCGAGCAGGCTATCCTGAATCAAATAATTGCGAAATCAGCCCAACTCCTTCAGAGTGGTCCAGAGGATTTTTCGGCGAAAAGCAGCCAAGATAACTATATAGCCAACGCACCGACCGGCGTGGGTGGCTCAAACTTGAAGCTAATCGAACACAACCAAACTCAAGAAAAGCAGCTATCGAACCTTCCCCTTCACTTGAAGGAGGTGGCATTGGTGTTCCCTCCAGTGAAATGCCTCGTCTGTCGTCCTCCCACTTTTCTACATCCTTATAAAGAAACCCCTTATCAGTTACCAAGCAGTCGTCACTTTGAATGTGATTCGAGACAGACAAGAAATCAAAACGTTTTTCCGCGATTCCTCCCCATCCAAGAAATCGAAAGCACGCGACCGTGTGTTGTGGAGTAAACGGGCTTTCAAACACGTGATTGAAGGAAACAATCTACTGAGGCTTTACCACACTAATGAACACTCGGGCAAACTTAAGAAATTTTCGGACCTTCGTGAAATTACACTGTTCGCCATCGCGCCGACAGCACGTGTCCGCGAAAGCCACCTGAGACGCGGAGGGGCGCGGAGCGACCTGACCGGCTGGTTCCCGGTTTTCCCGCTTGGTGGCGTCCGTTTTGCTGGAGTCGCGAATAGCCGAAGCCAGGGCCTTCAAAGCCGAAGCCAGGGCCTTCAAAGCCGAAGCCAGGGCCTCCGACGCCGAAGCCAGGGCCTTCGAGGCCGAAGCCAGGGCCTCCAACGCCGAAGCCAGGGCCTTTGAGGCCGAAGCCAGCGCCTCCGAGGCCGAAGCCAGGGCAGGGCCTTCAAAGACTGAGGACGCGGAGGCCAGGGCCAAGGTGGCTGTGGCCAGAGCGGAGGAGGCCACGACCAGGGCGGAGGAGGCCGAGGCCAGGGCGGAGGAGGCCGAGGCCAGGGCGGAGGAGGCCGAGGCCAGAGCGGAGGAGGCCGAGGCCAGAGCGGAGGAGGCCGAGATGAAGGTCGTCGAGGGCAAAGCACAGATGGCCTTCATGCTCGACGATCTTCTCCCTGCTTTGGAACGTATGACCTAATTTACAAATATCTGGAAACTCCCAGGTTATATCAGTCCTTTTATGACTAGCTATAGATGGTGACAGGTGAAGAACAAAGTGGAAGTTCCTCCGACCCCCTTCCACTTAAGCAGAGCGAACGCTGGAAAGGAGGTTGCCTCCTGTCCAGCATTCGCTCTGCTTAAGTGGAAAGAGGTCAGAAGAACTTCCACTTTGTTCTTGACTTGTCATGGACTATAGAGTGGAATATTCCCAATTGTTGCAATTACCATAAGGTCGAGGAGCAGTGGCGTCACGAGTGTCAGCGGCACCCAGGGCGGTAGCTTGCCACGACACCCCTTCTGCTTTAGAAAGCTCCGCCAGCCATAGCGCGCATGGAACTGAATCAAGGCACTGGGCTTATCTTTTCAAACAAATTTTTTGTATTTTCAAGCTGCACCAAACTAATAAGAATTTTTTTCTCATTGTTGCAAAAAGTTTTTCCTAAAAACTTTTTTTCTTCTGCTTCGATGTGCCTAACCTATTTGTCCAGGCCTAACTGCCCGATGTTGCGAATTCGCGACATATTAGATTTTTTGTCTAAGGGTCCATTTGCACCCAAAAGAGACTTTAGTAATTGATTACATATACACGTTTGAAGGTACGTCCTCTGGGCGCCGCTATCTTCTTTGCTAGAAAGCGCGTGGGCTGCATCATAATCCGATCACGGTATGATGCCTTAAGAAGGCTTAATCGGATTATGGCACGACCCACAGCGCACTTACGTGCACCCCAGCAAGCAAGATGGTGGTGCTGGAGGCCACACTTGAAAATGCGTATGCGAAATAAAAAATAATGTTTAAACATTTTTTTGTAGAACGCACGCCCTTAAGTTTTTGCGTTGAATGGTTAACAAGCTGCTTCATATCCCGAAACGAGTACTACTGCTGCTACCATTTTCTGTCATTCCATAAGTTTTTTCAGTTGAACTGAATGCAGATACAGGAATACTTTTTCGAAATCAGGGTAGGGGACATCTGTGATGGTGAAGCATTGAATTGCAGTGCGAGAGCCGATCCTTCTTGGGTTTGGAGGTCTGCTGTTCCTATGTTGACTCACAGTGTCAACTTTCATGTGTCAATTTGCTATTCTGCATACAGGATTAGCATGTGCATCACTCTTTAAACTTGCTGCTGTACATAGGTGAAATGAGGCCGCTCATGGTGTGATATGGAGTGGCCACAGTGATCTGTCTCAATTTGGGAACTGTTTGTGAGGCGGCATGTTGAAAGTGAGTGCCCGTGTCGAAAGCAGTGAAATATGCACAAAAACACTGGATGTGCGCTAGAAGTGCAATGTCGACGACAAAAGTAACAGCAACTGAAGTAGACAAGTGAGCTGACTAAGGTCAAGAAATGAGACTTTAGGGGTATAAACCATTTGCAATATCCCCCAAGCGCCCTGGCCCATGCTAGAGAAATCATGGAATCATGGGTTCCTTGCGCTCCTAGTGATTGGTAATTTCGACCCAATCCATGGTTACACCGCTTTTGAGCGTAATTCGGAGTCACTCTAAAGAAGCGCCTGATATACCCCAAGGACCTGTTGTATTGCTTTTTAAAATTTCTCCTCAATGTCAACATTTTTAATACTGTGCATGCTGTCCACCCTTCAACCTGGATGAGCTACACAAATCTCTTACATTATTATCATTCTCATACAGCTTCAAAGACGCTGATATAAGTTAGAAATGCTATAAACAGCCCCGCTGACTACGAGCTAAATCCTGGTTTTTGTTGTGAATTCTCGGCTTTTTAAGCAATTCCTGCTAAAACAACAATCACAAAATAATAACATTGTAAGAGATTTCTGCAGTTCGGCCAGATTGAAAGGTGGATCGAATGCCCAGTGTAAAAAATGTTGACATTGACAATAAAGTTTAAAAGTGAAATGACAGGTCCTTGGGGCATATCAGTCGCTTCTTCAGGGTGACTCCGAATTATGCTCAAGCTGTGTAACCATGGAATTGGTTGAAATTAGTGATCACTAAGGAGCTGAAGGAACACCGTTCTGATGATTCCTTGAGTGCAGGCCGGGGTGCTTGGCAATATAGCAAATGGACTATTGGGGTGCGAAGCTGTGTGAAGGGAGATCAGCCTGAAGATGAAAATATGTTCCCATGACATTTCTAGCGTAAGTTAAAGTGCTCGGATTATTTAAAAAATGGTCTCTTTGTGGTGAGCATACACATGTCAAGCATGGGATTTTAGGCTTAGATTTCAGAGCTTCCTGCTTTTTCACCATTCATTTAAAAAAATTTGAAGTCTAGGAGCAAGTTTGGTGCAGTGTCTGCTTTTATTGTGTGCACTTTCTCTCAATTTTTCTTTATGTTAAACCAGGTGTAACTTATGTCAAACTTCATAGCCCCTTTATTACTTTATGGTTAACAACCATCAACACGATGGTTGTTAACCATTAATTTTTTCATAATTTGAATATCTAATTGTAATGTCACTGTGATGAATGCTTCCTACTGGCAGGTGTGCCAACCCTCGTTGCAGCTCTGGAGACCCGTGGAGTGACTGGCCCCGTGGTTCAAGGGAGTGTTGTGGAGAACACGGCATGTAACGATTTCCTCTCTTCACATCGCAGTTAAAGATGTGCACCTTTTATCTTGTCTTGTTCCTAACCCTAATGGCTCATGTACATTTGCAGGTCCACACAATAATCTGCCCAATTTTTCGACGCTGGGTGCCAGAATTTAAGCAGATTATTTTGACGCTCGAACCACAACCGTAGACTTTTGACGTTGGGCATCAGAAGTGTGGGAAATATCCGACGGCAAGAAGAATGGTCAGAGATCTTTTTTTTTTTTCTGCTGGAGAAAATTTCCCAATCAGGACAGAAGGCAGGAATTGCATTGCCAGATGTCACACTCTACAACAGGAAAACGAATTTTGGCATTTCTGAACAAAACACGGCAAGTCAAAAGGACTTTTTCAGAAACTTCACGAGGGCTCGTGCAAGGCTCTCTCACATGCCTCCTCACATTGCAATGGCCTCGCCGCTCGACTCCCTTTTCTTACTTGCCCTCTTTCTGTTGTCAGCTACAGCCGGTTTGCGACAGCACGCTGCCTTTTGGCACCAGTGGAGGCAGGCGCAGCTTTCAAAAAAGGTCTACTGCATCCTTTGTGATACAGCAGACATTCACAGATTGTTTTAAATCTCGCTTAACAGATGACACAACAATGTCTTTTTTGTTTTGTTTTCGTCGGTGATTGACACTTCATGGCAGACGAAACCAACACAACCTAGACGAACTCGAGGCTTTAGCACCGATTTCTTATGTCTCCTAAAAGGAGTCGGTGCGATGCGCGGATTGAACACGAGTGTCATGTCAGCCTTGACTGCCGATTAAAGGGGCATTGACACATCAAAATCATATTTTTTTTTATTATCCGAAACGATTGAAAACGATGCCGGGACATTACCCTCAAGATTTGAAATTTGGGAATTCAGTATTCGTGAAGTAAAAAAACAATTTCCAAATGCCGAATTCGAAGTTCCCGCGCGATCGGCGCCGGTGCCTTGACGTCAAATACTGCGGAGTCCTGAGAGTCCACTTTCTTTCACCACTCCCTGCTGTTGCCATGGCGACCCAAAGCGAGGAGGAAAGGAGCGAGCGCCGGCGTTGCGGCGGACCGGGTTTGAGCAGAGTCGCCTGTTTTCCGTTGGAGGATACAAATCCAGGAGACGGCACCACAACGAACTCCCGATTTTTGGTATTTCAAGAAGGGCCGTAGTGCGTTCGCAATTGCGTTAAAAAACATGTTTTAGGATTGCAGTTATTAAATGTTATAAAGATGTCGCCTACAAAGTTTATAAATTTCATGATTCTTGACGTCACGAATCAAAAGAAGCGAGGAGGCGAGTGGTGGAAGAATCAAACGCCAAAAATAAAAAGGCGCGCGCGCGCTTGGGGAATTTTTTTTTTTACGATGCGGTTTTCTTTTACGTGTCTATGACTGCAATTTGCATTGTTTTAGACAATAAAAATAAATACGACCTTTGGGATGTCAGTGCCCCTTTAAGTGAGAACATGAATCGCATCTGAACGATGATGCTTCATTCGTGTTCCAATCTGTGCTTTGTGCGGACCCTTTTTGGTGACAGAAAATCCAGTGCTAAGTCTTTGTATCTGGGTGGCATTGACTCCCCCAACTCTTCTTTTTCTCGCACTGTAAAGCATTGTGTTTGCAAACGGTCTTTTAGCTCCTTCACTCTCGCCGAGAAGAAAATCGAACCCCAGTGCTGTGAACAGTTTCCGTTCGATGCTCGCATATTTCTTGGTCGTCGCCAGGCAATGTGCAGAGGTGACCTACTCGAAATAAGGCACGGCGTTTGTTAAACGCTGATCTTCTAACTTCCTCCGCCGACGAGCACTGGCATATGGCAGGGTTGTAGTTGGGAAACTGATTTCCCAAGTACATTGCACGGGCACGGCGGGGTAACAAGCCTGAACAGTTTATAGTCTTTTTTTTTGACGAGCAAATTCGATCGGCAGCTGGAGTGCTTTTTAGAAGTGTGAATGAGCCACAGGTTCTAGCAAAAAATGTGCCTGTTAGAGAGGTTCTATTAGAACCATAGCTACTTACTTGGCCCCATCGGCCAACCTAGTCATCATTACTTCGCGCAAAGCATTTTTGTTTAATAGGGCGATTGATGCCTCACTTACACACTCTTTCTTTTGCCCAAATTTCGTACGCCTCCTGCAGTTCGCTGCTTGTCTTGTCATTGTATCTAGCAAGAATCTTAACATCATACAACACCGGGGAACAGTGGCATCTATTGCAGTGAATGGCGCGTGGCCCATTCACACCTGCCCGTCTGGCCAATATACACTGCTCCTCACAATAGTGGTATCTTATACACAATGCCTGAGGCAGACTCAGTAAATTTATTCTTGTGTTTTATGCTGCAAGGCTCAGATGGCTGTTTGGGGCTGTTGATTCTGTGGCAGAGCCGAACCATCTTATTGAGTGCTGAGAACACCACAGGAATGCGGTAGCGCTGATCGACTTTCCTTAATTGCGTGATACTGAATGTAAGTACTGTCGAGACCGGTTATAATGAAGACAATGGGAATCAGAAATCACTTTGCTATATTCGCTATTTCGTTTAAACCTAATTCAGTTAACGAAGTGCAAAAGGGAATGGGGAAATCGTGATTCCTTCGCTGTAGCCGCTATTTCGTTATAACCGACTTCGTTACAACTGATCTCGACAGTATGGTATCGCAGCCGGTCTCACCTTGGACTTCTCACGAGCGGGTTTGTTTATGCCTTCAAACTTTTTTAACAGGCTTTCGGCGACCTGAATTAGACACATCTGCGTGGAGGCTTTCTGTCGCGCAATCTATTCCGTACAGAATGGCCACAAGATTCCTTGAAAGAGGCCTCCAAAAACATTGGCAATGCCCCTTAAAAGAAGAAAAAGAAAAGTGGCAGTGTTAACGTATTTAAAGACCTCTGAAGAAATCGTGTGGCCATTCTGTACAAGATAGCTTTCTGCTACAGATTGCACGACTGAAAGAAGCAGGCTAGCCACAGATGTGTCTAAAGCGCCGTTCACACACTTGCACCTGAGTACAACCGAGAGAGACAAGTCCGGTTTTTAAAGGGACCATGAAATGACTTTTTTACTTTTTCCACATAACTTTTACAATAAACCGTCAATGTTCACTGAATGCCGAACAGGCATCCGTTTTCGTCTCGGTTTATTAACTTCTACACAAAAAATTAATGAAATATCGACTTTTTCTTGACCGCAAAACAAGCCGTGACGTACGATGTTTCCGGAACCGGAAGTTCTCTCAGCAGTAGGAGATGGGAGCGTTAGTGAGTTGGGGTGCGCCGGTGGGTTTTACTGCGCCGATGTCACCGACGTATTTTCTGAATCGGCGCCTCTCATCGCCGCATCGCAGCTGAACGAAATTCAATGAGATACGTTGCGCTACAGCGACAGCATGGGACTAGTCCCATACGCCGGTATGCCTGTTGGGAAGTGCAGATGGGAACAATTTGCCGCGGCGTTTTTCGCGGTCTCGGAGATGCAGGAGCGAGCCGACGTTAAAAAAGATACGTTTGAACTGTCAGCAAGAGCCACGTAAATACCTGTTCACACTCGGAGCGGACGCGCGCGTTTGATGAAGTGCTGTATTCGCGCTGTTGGTAAGCGCTTCGGGACCGATCTTTTACAATTGCAACTCGATACTGACGCGACACTCGGCAAAGAAAGGTTGGACCGGTATTGCACGTATACCTCCCACGAACTGTTACAGCTCGACAGTGACGTGCAGTCTGTCAGAATAAAAATGGCATACCAATAACAAAGTGTACATACCGTGCTACGAAGGTAATCCATACAGCGTTTATTTCAGCTCTATATCACACAAAACAAGGAGAGGATCGACGAGTGTTCGTCAACACTGCCTCGGAAAACAAGGGGAAGAGATTGACCTCACCTCTTAACCTAAAATTGAGGTCAGCGATCAAACTATAATACGGAAGGGTCCACAAGGGTAGCGCGGGCATATTCCATTCAGTACGCCAGCCGGTCGTAGGCAGACGGTCTTGCGACGAAGCAACGCTGCGCCGAGTCGGAGTGCCTGCTAGGCCTATATTCTGAGAGTTTCGTCGGAGCGGGATTCGCGGCTGTTGTCGCTCTTCTCGGGTGTTTGTGGATCCAGCGTTCTTGTTCGTCGTGGTTTGTTTTAAGTACATTTCTTTCTTGCTGCTTGAAGTCGGCACGCGCGAGATGAACACGTAGAAAAATAAACGTTCAGTCAGTCCGAGTTTTGAGAGGAAGGAAACCAAAGGAAATAACCGTTCTCAACTTGGCCCTGCCCTACTGCGCACGCGCAGTAGTTGCTTCGTTTACCACACGATAGATGGCGCTTGGCTCTCAGCATTATCAAATTTGGCAATTTTCGCCACACATCTCTAATTATGCTACAAAATGTGGATCTGAATATTATTTAACAAAACTTTTAGGAAACATTCGCCGGCTATTTATTGTTTACGATCGCGGTGCTGGTGAGGTAGGCTCTTACCCAATAGGCGATGTGGATTCGGCTGACGTGCACCGATTCTGCGTATGCATCGTAGTGAAAAGGCAGAGCTTTCGAAGGAAAGAAGTCGCAAAAGAGTCCAGTTTTCTTTTAAAAGTTCTATAGCAAATAATTTTTTTTGGCTCCCTAGTCTTGTGTTTTTGTGTTCCTTTTCACACCTTTTACGACGTGCGGTGGATGAAATTCGATTTTAAAATCATTTCATGGTCCCTTTAAGCCTCTTGCGACGGCGCACAACCTGCTCCACAGCAGTGCATCTCGTCCTACGCCAACGCAAGAGGCTTAAAAACCGGTCATGTCTCTTATTCATACTCGGTTGCAAGTGTGTGAACGGCGCTTAATTCAGGTCGCCAAAAGCCTGTTAAAAAAGTTCAGAGGCATAAGCAAACATGCTCGTGAGACCAGCTGTGGTACAATACTTACACTCAGCGCCACACAAAGAAAGTTGGTCAGTGCTACCGCATTCCTGCCGTGTTGTTGGCTCTTAGTAAGATGGATTGGCTCTGCCACAGAATCAAGATCCCCGAGCAGCCATCTGAGCATAAAACACAAGAATAAAAGTGTACCTCGAGCATTGCGTATCAGATACCACTATTGTGAGGAGCAGTGTATATTGGCCAGATGGGCAGGCGTGCGAATGGCCGTGCCCGTGAGCACGCTGCTGCAACGCGAGCTAGCCCAGCTGGCCACCTCGCCATTCACTGCAGTAGGTGCTCCTGCTCCCCGGTGTTACATGATGTTAACATTCTTGCTAGATACAATGACAGGGCAAGCAGAGAACTGCCCGAGGCATACGAACATTTGGCAAAAGGAAGAGTGTGTATAGGTGAGTCATCAATCACCCTACTAAACAAAAATGCTTTGCTCGGAGTGATGATGACTTGGCTGGCCGATGGGGCTTATATACAGTCTAAGCTCATTATAACAGACCTGGTTACAAGAGACATTTGGATAAAACATACTGATTTGTGAAGTTCAGTTGGTTTTCCTCTATGTGCCATTGACTCAACTTCATATCTGCATACAGCCTACTCCTTTTACAACAGACCAAAATCTTGGTCAAAATTGAGGTCTGTTATAACGAGCTTAGACTGTAGTTAATGTTCTTTCCAAATAAACAACTGTTGTGAGTGTGCCTTGTGTTGTCTACCTTTGTCTTAGTCCTTGTTATTTTTGGCGCTTTTAAACATTTAATACAATGAACCAACTGGCCCAATGTTTCAGACATCCTTTGGAGACATCGTTGTTCCCGAGGCACACCTGAAACTTGTACTCCAAGCAGCCGTCAATCTTCACACAGGACCTTACGGTCGCAGTGTATGGGACGGAGGCCCTTACGAACTGCTGCCTGACTGGCTCTGCAGCGAAGGGGAGGCTTCCCGAAGAGGGAGTTAGGGACTTGATAGGTGAGTAAATTGCTGTAAAGAAGAAATGGCAAGGCACTATTGCAATCAAGCTTAACCCGAACAATTGCTAAGGCTCTTGACACATATTTGATTTGTGTCTCGGTGCTCATGGATGTTTTTTTTTGGCTAATGTTCAGGTATTTGTCTTCTTTATGCGTCATTACGTCTGTGTTACACTTCCGGTTTCCAATAATGTGCCCCAGCTTTAGCATACTTTAATTTTTGCCGAGATTAAAATTAATTCTGATGCAATTTCTTTCTTCTACAATGGGCCCTTTTCCTTGTTTTTCCCCTCTGGACTCTATTTCTATTTACATCAGCGTGATCGCCAACACAACATGCAAAGCAAGATTCTATTCTGCTGCCATCAGACATGGTGCGGTTCCACCGGACTTGGTTGGGTTGTTTGGCTTTGGAAGACCTTCTCAACATCATACAAAAAGAATATGCAAGATCGTTCACTCCGAGATGTGGAAGCAGGTCCCTTACTTCAGAACTTGCCTCTGGGCTCTTGCCGGTTGTGGAGACCCCGGTGGCGGCCGAGGACGAAGGTACAGAGCCTTCCTTGACAGAGCAAGTAAGGAGACGGAATTCCTGTGGTCTTCATATATTCCGCATATTAGAAGTCTCCGTGCCCAAAATAACCAACGCAAGGGAGAATACGTAACCTTGTTGGGGGATGCTACAATACGTAGATATAGGCAAGATACTCGAAAAAGGTCCAAAGTTTTGCACACCACCAAAAATGCAGGGCGTACAGCTGGTGTCTAAGATACACGACATAGCGGCTAAGGCCCAAGAAACTGATAGAGTTCGATGTGTGGACGATTGTGTTGATGTGCTGCTACATACTGGTCAAGTTAATGACAAGAATATGAGAATTCCTTCTATTGTCAATTATTTCAAAACGAATAGCCTAAGCCTTCTAGTTTCTGATAAAGAAGGAGGTTTCGTTGTCATTCCTAGGTCACTCTACCTCGAAAAAGCAGGGAAGCCCATAGAGAAAAACTTTAACCAGTTGCATGATTTCAAAACCAAGAGAGTGAAGGCAAAGGCACTCCAACTGTGCCACAGGCTTGAGCTGGAGCAATTGAGGAAGACAATTACTGCTACGAAAAAGGACCATTTGGATATGTTTTTCACGGCAAAAACACACAAGGACGAATGTCCTTTCCGAGTTGTGGTCACTGAGAAAGGGTCTTGGCAGGGTTTAATGTCACGGTTCCTCTTAAGCCATTTGTCGAATCTCCAGCTGAATGACCCATTCCTAATAACAAATTCAGAGGAACTTATTAAGTATCTGCAACTAAATGCAATGACGGTGCGCTTTGGCTTCTCATTTGATGTGGAGGATCTGTTTTACTCAGTACCTCACATCAAATTATTTGCACCAGTAAGTGAATGTATTGAAGCCAATGGAACTATTTCATTTCAAAACAAGCGTGGCATTCCGGTAGAGTCCTTCTTAGAACTTTTAAAGTTCTACCCCTCTGCTACAGTCGTCACATTTGAAAGTAATTCTTTCCTATAAAAGAAAGGTATATGTATAGGTTCCTGTGTGGCACCTATATTATGTGATATTTACTTGTCCCAATGTGATCGGGCAATAGACAGTACACTTTCCAACAGCCATGTATCTCATATTTTTCGATATGTTGATGATTACCTCGTTCTCCTTCAACATCGCCCAAGTGAGAATGAGACGCAAATATTCAACATCATCCAATCTAACTTTTTAGAAAATGGCCAAGGTCTCAAGTTCACCCAAGAATCACCAGTGAACTCCGTACTCCACTTTTTAGATCTAAGACTGGTGTTCTCCGACAACCACACTTGCTGGACGTATTCCCCTCGATCGAAGAAAGGTCTTTTACAGTATGATTCGGCTCACTCCAAAAATATAAAAATAGAAATCACAAAAAATTGCCTGAATACAGCTCTTAAAAAATCTTGCATGCACTCAGTGGGGGAAAGCTTCGATGCTCAAGTGCAAAGACTGAAAGCGTCGGAATATCCGAATTCCATAATATATGACGTCGCCGAATCCTTGATGACCTCAAATAAAAAAACGTGACACTGAAAAACGAAAGAAACACCGACCGACTGTTCTGCCATATATACACCGCTTGTCCCACAACTTGAAGAGAACAACTGCGAAGTTTCAAGTCCAAGTTGTGCTTTCAGCTCCGGACAAACTAAAAAGGCTCTGCCCTAAGATCAATTGCCAACAGCATCAACAGGCAGAGTGCAGTGTAAAACATCGACTCAAGTATGTGGAATGTCAAAGTGGAGTGGTATATCAAATACCGTTTACATGCGGCAAAGTGTATGTAGGTCAGTCGGGGCGATGTATTAATACCAGATAAAGAGAACAAGCCCAAACATTAAAATCAGCACCATCAAGACATCTTGCGGTGCATGTCAGAGACTGCAAATGCTCACCAACATTCAACTACACCAAAGTTCTCAAGCGGTTCCGTGACAAAAACACCAGAGAACTGTACGAGGCTTAAGTCATCCTCACCAGTGGCGACAAGTGCATAAGCGCGCCATCAGTGACCCTAACACAAAAAGAACTTCAGTTCCTTCGGTGTTTCCCCTGAAGACCTGAAACACAGAGAGAACTTCAGTTCTAGCGGTGTGTTATCTGAAGACGGTTTAGCCATTTGCTCAGCGTAATTTTTTTCTCTTCTATTTCATGTTTTTCTTTTTCTTTTGCTTTTTGTAGTATAGAGTTTTTTTACGTGACAAGTACTTTGCCTTCGGCTGGAGTTAAAATAATTTTTATTTCGATTTATTAAACTAATAATGTTCTTTTTAGCAGCAGTGACTTTAATTTCATCTTTCTTTTCTTCCTTGACTTGAACCCCACTTCCACCTTGCCGTTCTCTAGATGCTCTATTAAATTTGACAGTTGTAAGTAAGCGCTCTGTCCTGTCCCCTCCTTCTCTTCTCAGTCTTTTGCGGTTTAAAAACCACCGTCTAGATGAGGAAGTACTTATCTATCCTTGTGCTCTGTGGTGTTATAAAAATGCCGCAGTTCAGAATGTTCTGGCAGGGTGGGAGAAGATATGCACCTGTTGCAGACCTGATGAGCCGGAACAGGTTTGAGGAGATACATCGCTTTTTACACATGAACAACAACATGGAGCAGAAACCAAAAGGAAGCGAGGGACATGACAAGCTCTTCAAAGTCCGTCCCATTATAGATGCGCTCCGACAGAACCTAAGACTGGTGCCACCAGAAGAAAAACAAAGCACCGATGAGCAAATCATACCATTCAAGAGCCGCAGCCAGATCAAGCAGTACATCAAAGCGAAGCCACACAAATGGGGCTTCAAGGTTCACGAGGGCCAGCTCGTTGGGCATAATGCACGACTTTGTCATTTATGAAGGTAAAGGCACTGCAACGGACCATGGATTAGGGATTTCTGGAGATATTGTTCTTGATCTTGTCAGGGACCTGCCACAAGGGATAAACCACAAAGTCTTCTTCGCCAACTGGTTTTCCAGTTTGCGTCTGGTTGACCATCTAAAAAAAGAGGGCTACCTGTCAGTGGGGAACTGTCAGGTCAGACCGAACTGGAAAATGCCCCTTGGCTCTGAGCTAAAAAGTCAAGGTAGGGGTGCCGTGGACTACAAACTAGATGCTGAAAGTGGGGTTCAAGTCATCAAGTGGCTCGGCAATGCAACTGTACATTGGTGTCAAGTTACGCTGGCGTTCAGCCTACTGACACGTGCACCCGTTGGAGCAACAAAGAAAAAAATAGATAGAAGTGACTCGACCAATTGCAGTACAATGACTCAATGGGAGGTGTCGACCTCGCAGATATGCTCATCGAGTTATATTGCACCGACCACAAGTCACGAAAGTGGTACTGGACCATTGATGTGTCCTGGACCTTATACTGGACCATTGATGTGTCCATCGTGAATGCCTGGTTGCTCTACAAGCGTCATTGCAAGGCGACAGACACCCGAAAGCCACTTTCGCTGCTAAGTTTCAGGAAGCATGTGGCTGAGGCGCTTGGCTTGAGAAATGCCAATAAACAAAATGGCAGTCTCGTTCAGAGGACGAAGCATCGCCAAATCAAAACGCTAAGCATCCAAGAATCCAGAAGCCAGTGGACGATGTTCGGTACGACGGTGTTCAGCACTGGCCAGTCATTTGGAAAAAAAGGCAACGCTGCAGGTCCTGCTCAAAAGGATTCAGTTTCCTCTACTGCAGCAAGTGCAACGTGCATCTCTGCCTGATCCCCAGCAAAAATTGCTTTATGGCATTTCACACTAAGTAGTGGTCCGGGATGCCCAATGTAGCTCAGGAGCAACATTCCACAAAAGCATAACCATTAAAGCCAATTTTTTTATTTTTGTTGCAAATCGTTTTTTTACTTGTTTTGAATTAACCCAGAAAGTTTCATCGGGAAAGTAGTTTGGGCATCAAAGGGTTAATAACTGGTTAAAAATCCTCATAGGGTAGGCCAACCAATGCTCAGAGATATTAGAGAATGTGTGTGGATAGCCACCGTAAAAATAACTTGTACGACGAGAAAACAAAAAAGGGGGTACTGAAAATTGGAAGCCGACCTCGCGCTTTTTTAGAACACTGTGGTGAGGTGGCTCGCATCCCAAACGTCCCAAGATGCCTCTGTCACATTTTAATGACTGTTTAATGTGCTAGCAAGAATGGGACATTTACAATAAAACTATAGCAATTCATTTAAGATAGATATTAAACACATTTATTTATCTGTATATGCTTGTAGTTTAATTTCATTATTACTGCAGGGTCAGAAGGTTAATTGACAACAAAATTTGATTGTTTTCGTTTTTCTGGTTTTGTAACTTATGGTTCCAGATGCTTCAGCAAGACATAGGCATAGTTGCATATTATCACTCTAAAAGTTTGGGTCTATACAGCATGAACAAATTGTATTTTTGATGGTGATAATAGCAAAAATATCAGGTCACTATTTCAGCAGCTGCTGCTTGTGAACTCGAGAGACTGGAA